TAATAATAATAATATGATTATTTATATTATTAGGATTAACTCCATTAGCTGGAGTCGGATTGCGTGAAAAAGATTATTCAGACACTATGTGTACAGTTGGACCGCTCTGTAGAAAGGCTGAGGATTTGATACCCTTTTTGAAGGTACTAGTCGGTCCTAACGTGATTAAATTAAACCTAGATGAGCCGGTCAATTTAAAGAATTTAAAAGTATTCTATCAAGAGAGCTCTGGCGATTTGAGAGCAAGTAAAGTGAATAACACCATGAGAGCTACATTAATGAGAGCAGTGCAATATTTTGAAGAACTAACGGGTTCTGCAACAAAGGTAAAATCTCACATTCTTTAATTTTGCATCTAAAGAGTTATTAGATGTTTTTCACTTTTTTTCTCTTAATTATTATTTTCTCTTAAATTATTTAGACATTTCTTCTTTTTCTTTTTGTTTCTTATAAAAGTTGATTTATTTTAGTATTTAGATATTCTGTTCTTAAATTTCTAATAACTTAAAAAATTTGTATGTAGAAAATTACTATATTTGTTATTATTATATTACAGATAAAAATACCAGGTTCTGAATACAGTTTCAAATTGTGGAGATATTGTATGAGTTATGAAGATATTAATTTCAAGTTGAACATAACAAATCGAAAAGTAAGAATTACATTTCGTGTGTGTGTGTGTGATGTGTGTGTGTGTGTGTGTGTGTGTGTGTGTGTGTGTGTGTGTGTGTGTTCATACATATCTCAAGACAATAGAATTTATGCAAATTTTAGTAATATTTAAATTCCATATTCCGTAAATTTTTTATGACAGATGATTCTTTGTCATGTGCCTTGACTCTCATTAAAAAAAAACACATTTACTTTGCAGTATGTCTCTAGTGCGAGTGGAGAAATTTACAATTTACTCACTGGAAACTCACAGATAACGTTAGCTGCTATTATGAAATTAATAGAGGAAGATTTCTTTCCACAAGAGAACGCTGAATGGGCAAAAAATACCATTGCAGAAGCGAAACAATTTTTGATGGTAATTATTATTAAAGAGAAATTAGATACACAGAACGTCCTCCATTGAACCATACAACTTTTATTTAAAACATTTTTTCTATCACAGTTATTGAGAAATCTTAATGCATTATTTAAAATGGGACAGCCTGTACAAGGTGTAGAAAAAATGAGTATATATGTTCAAGTGATATAGTACATATATATTCAGTTGTGTATATGTTCCATTGATATATATATATTAAAAAAAAAATTAAAAGAAGAAAAATTATAGAGATTAAAATAAAAGTTTTTAATAAAAAATTAATATATAAAAAAGCCAATCATAGTCCTAAAAAAAATAAACAAAACTTCCTAGATGAAAGTAGCTGTGATTGGCAGTAAGCAATTGCAACAGTGTGCAAGTAAATCGTTCCCGAAAATAGTTGAAAAATATATTTCTTAACGAATTGTTATGTGAATTCCTATATGGTTATGTGGAAATCATTCCGTAGGACAAATTGAGTGATAATGGAGTATTATTTTATCCTTCGGCACCGTCTTCTGCTACCTACCATTATTCCGCATTTCTGAGACCCTTTAACTTTAGTTACTGGTGTCTGTTTAATGTTTTGAGATTCCCAACGTGCCAAGTGCCACTGGGCTTAGATAAACAGGGCTTGCCAGTTGGTATTCAGGTGAGACACACACACACCACACACACACACACACACACACACACACACACACACACACACACACGCACACACACACGCACACACACAATGATTTTTACAAATTCATTTAAATTCCATATTTACTATATATTTTGAATATTTATAGTTTAGAATTTTGTTTCTATCGTACTAATCATTTAATCGTGAGACTATATATCCAGGATTGCTACAGATTTTGAAAAAAATAATAGAAATTTAAATTAATTATGGAAAAATCAAGGAAAAATACAAAAAAAAATCTAAAATTTTGAACTTTTTTCACAATTTTTAAATTGTGAAATATTTTTTCAGTGTTTGTTTTTAAGTTTAAGCCATTATTCTGACATTTTATG